ATGCTCAGCATTTATTACATTTATTTTTTATCTCAATTTGATGTCCATTGCTTTAGTTGGTAAATTCCACTAAGATAAAATACAGTAAAGGCTCATACAATAAACATGGAATATAGAAACTGCTGAGAATCATTTTCTTCTCAGGCTCTATTTAAAATGCTCATCTGCTTGCAGTGAGGATCCTGTTATAGGGAAGAACTATTTTTGTAATGGAAATGAGTGAGTGTCAGCATTTGGATTAATAGATAATCCTCTTGGAAGGTGTAAGGAGAAGGAGAAAGAGAGTGCTAAATCCTTCAGCATCAAGTACAAGCTTTAATGAAGGAGCCAATAAAATAAAGGAATTAAGAAGACACACCAAAAGTCATATTCAGGTTAGACTCAAGTGCTGTTGATTTATGCTGGACCTATTTTTACCCCCAACCTTGTTTTTTCTCTTTCTCCTCGCACCTGTAAACCAACAAGGCTCTATTTCTCTCTCATAGCCATAATTCCAATTCTTCTCCTACTTTCTTGCCTGGATTATTGCAAAAGCTAACAGACTTCATCTTCCTGCCCCAGCTGTTTGCTTTTCTGATTCACCCTTCACAGCAGCTGCCACAGCTATCTTCTGAAATTAAAGCACTGTGTCCCATTACTTCTGGATAAAGTCCAGGCTCTCTGCCATCATCATCGAAGCTCTTGAAATTACGTCCTCTCCTACTCCCCAACCTCCTCATAGCTCAAGCTCCAACTGGCCCTTCAAGACATCCCCACTGGGGATGTAAAACTTCTCACACTTTACAAATACAATCCTCTGCTTGGAGTGTCCTTCTTGATTTCTGTGACTTTTCACTCATACTGATTGTTAGTAGTGAGCTGAAACGTTCTCACCTCAGAGAACCTTGCATCCTTCTTCCTTCCTAAATCGTTTACTTTTCCTTATCTGGAATCTGGTAGCACTTTCCACACAGCTCTGTTGGCACATGTTTCATTTTCTCCTAGACTGTTGGTTTACATGCTTGTCTCTGAAATCAAAGCTATTCAAAAGCATAGACATCTTTCTATCCCCAGAAAACAGAAGAGAATTTGGGGGGTGGGAGACAGGGTAGATACTGAGTGGGTTATTGCTGTGAGTAAATGTCACTGTACCCCACCTGGCTACAAGCATGGAGGGGGTTCTCTCATACTTCCTGCTCTCCCAACTCTACACGGCAGCCACACAGCCCTCCTCTGGTCCTTAAACATGTGGAGTTTGTATCTGCCTCTGCACTAGCTTTTCCCTCCATCTGAAATACTCTCCCTTTATTTCTTCCAGTGGCCGGCTCCCTTGTATTCCTTCAGTCTCAGCTAAGATTTGCCCACTCAGACCCACCTTTCTGAATCACTAGTGTCAAGTAGCTCCTCTTTGCTGCCCCAGTCACTGACCAACATACCACCTTATCTTGTTAGCTTAGTTATACGTACTATACTCCGATTGTAGTCATTTATTGATTTGCTTTTTTATTGTTCTTTTATATAATGTTTGTTTTCCTCTCATTAGGAAGCAACAGTTTAGTTCATCATAATATATCTAGTACATCAAGTGTCTGGCTCATAGTAGGTGCTCAGCACATGAATGACTGAATAACCAATAACTGAGTATTTGTTGGTTCTGTAACAAAATCCATCCAGAAAAGCAAACAAAGAAACTTTATTCCTATCTTAAGAGAACTCAAATTCTAGGAAGTTTTCTAAATTTCATGGGTGGGGCTGAAGCTAAAGATATTTTGGCAACTAAATCACAGAGACACTTTTGGTATGCTGGGGTTCTGTTATGATACTCCCGTCATTTTGTTATTTTAAGCATGCCCTTGATGACGCAGAAATCTATTTAAATTGGCTGAGTTTAGGAACAGTGCCACAGAGGAAGTAGTGGCCTACACTTGCATGATGACCATCCTACAAGCATGATTTAATGTCAGACACTTAGAGCCTTTGGTGCCTTGCACAATACCTCATATGCAGAGGGTACTGAATAAGTCTTTACTAGGTGACTGAATGAATGCCTTTGTAGTCTTGCCCTGCTTTTTTCAGAAGAGTTTGAATTATTGCCCTGTTTGTCTCTAGGGGAACCTAGGGTTTACCGGCCCTCTTCCCATCTCATCCATTGTAAAAATCCTGGCCTCTTGCTGCCGGGAGGAAAGGAGAACCAGTCATTTGGCAGCAATGTCTGCTGTGGCCAGGAGAAGGCTGCTTGGTGCCAGTGTGCAGATTTAAAAACAAAAAACAAAACTATTTGCCTTTGCTTGATTGAGAGAATAGGTAACTTTTCTCTAACCATCAAGACAAGTTCATCACTGTAAATCTCCTTCATACCCCCTTTGCATTCTGATTCAATTTATCAAATATCTGAGTGTATACCTGGTACCTCACAAGTGTGCAAGGTTTTGTGAATGAGATAAGTAGAACAGGCAAAATCCAGGCCTTGAAGATTGTATGGCCTAGTAGGAAAGATGGCCTTCATTGTCTACTGCATGGGGTGAGTGATATTGGAGGGCAAGCTAAGGGGCCATGACATTGCCTGTATCTCTGCATGACCTGATCTACTTCTAAGGTTTTGTGGCTGCAAACACACTTGCTTAGACCACTCTCTGCTTATATTTTATTTAATAAGTCTCAACTGCTTGAAGTTTGTCTCAAAAAGAAGGCTTCATTTCTTTTTTTTCCCCTTAGTATCTGTGATATGTTTTGTTTCTTTTTTTCTTTCTTCGTGTGATGGAGTCTCACTCTGTCACCCATGCTGGAGTGCAATGGCGCAATTTTGGCTCACTGCAACCTCCGCCTCCCAGGTTCAAGCAATTCTCCTGCCTCAGCCTCCTGAGTAGCTGCTATTATAGGCTCATGCCACCACACTGGGCTAATTCTTATACTTTTAGTAGAGACGAAGTTTCACCATGTGGGCCAGGCTGGTCTCAAACTCAAGACTCGTAATCCACCCCCCTCAGCCTCCCAAAATGCTGGGATTACAGGTGTGAGCCACCACACCTGGCCTTCTTATTTGTCACATTTTCTTCTACTTATGTGTCCAGTGGGATGGTGTTTTACTAAAGGTTGATTGTCCTGAGGTCTCATTTACATGTGCAGGCATTTGCTATCCCTCATGTAGCAGTTAATCATGTTATGGGAATCCACACATTGCATTCAATCTTTGTTTTGCTGTCTTTGAAATAAATACAGTAGCACTGGTCTGCTGCATTCTGTTCTCCTTACTCTTTTACTCAATCAGATTTTTAAGTCTTTTAGCATGTATGTGGCCTTTGCACTTTTTCCCTCTCTGTTGCTGTTCTCAATTTTCTTGAAAAATCTACTTTAGATTCCTGTCATATGTTTTATTTATTATAAGAATAAACTTTTTAAAAAATTTTCTTGAGACAGAGTCTCACTGTGTGTGCCCAGGCTGGAGTGCAGTGGTGCAATCTTGGTTCACTGCAACCTCAACCTTCTCAGACTCAGGTGATTCTCCCACCTCAGCCTCCTGAGTAGCTGAGACTACCATGCCCAGCTAATTTTTATATTTTTTTGTATACAAAAGTTGTATATATATGGGGTTTTGCCATGTTGCCCAAGCTGGTGTCCAACTCCTGGGCTCAAGTGATATGCCTGCCTTGGCCTCCCGTAGTGCTGGAACTACAGACATGAGCCACTATGCCCGGCCTATTACAAGAATAAACTTTATAGCCACAATTGTGAACAGAGTTGTGATCTTAGTATACATACATCAAATGACACTAAAAGACTTCACGTACCCAAAGTCTTATAATATGAAATAGTTAACCACTTTCATTCAATAGTTACTGAAATCCTGTCTATGACAGTATACTGGGTTAAAGACTAGAAAATTGAACATTACCAGGAAACTCTCTCCACTAGGGTTAGTTCATTCTTTAGATCCAACTATATGCCAGAAGACGAGATTACTAGGAAAAATGACACAATCCTTGCCTTAAGGAAGGGAAGCATCAGTGCAAATATGACATATTAGAAAGGCTTCAATAGAATTAGTTTCTGGTTTCAATAGGAAAGAGTGGTCAGATCTACTTTAGTGATTTAGGAATTAGAGGAGAGCAGAAAAAACCCTCACAGAGCTAGAAGCTAAGCTTTTAAACTAGATTAGGTGTCTTACTGTACAACAAAAGTTGAGGGAGGATCTAGGGAAACAAAGATACAGAAATGACAAAGTGTGCTATATTGAGGCTGTTTCAGTTCAAATACTTTGAAGCACAGCATATGGGGCAAAGAATGCTAACTGAAGGAAGCAAAGGCAGCCTTATGGAGGTCCTTATAGTTTATACTGAGCACGTATGCAGGTTGTAATATACTGAAGGTGAGGTGAGAGGGAGAGCAAGCAGGAGAGGGGATAAAGTGTTTTATGTAGACTAGTGGCATAATTTGATTTGTATTTTGATAAGATCATCCTGGAGGAAGCTTTAATGTGAACTAGAGGCAGTCAGTCAGGAGAGCAGTTCTGCACTGCTGAGTCATGACACACTGTAACATCCATTGAAACTCATTCAAAAAGATGATTTGTGTATGTTGCTGAGTTTAATTTTCTGATTTTTTAAAGAATTTAATCTTCATGCTAATAGGTGAGCTTGATCTATGATTTTCTTTCTTATATTGCTTTTTTTTCAATTTTTACAGTAAAGTAAGAATACCCACAGATTAGATTTTATTTTCCTTCTAGTGCCTAGAACGATTTTACAACAGGCAATCCTATCTGTTCCTTGAAGGTCTGGTTTAAATCACCTGGAAAACCATTTAGGCTTGGAGTCTTTAATTTTGAGGGGAGAGAAAGTTTTTGTATACTGATTCAATTGCTTCAGGGGTTACTGGATTATTCAAATATTCTATTTTTTTCCTTGACTCAATTTTATAATTTATACATTTCTATAAAATAGTCTAGCCAATGGCAAATCTCTTCATTTTCATTATTTTCCTATCCCTGATTTAAAAACATGTTTCTGATTCTCTTTTTGTAGATAACAAGGAGATTTTCCTTTCCAAAGCAATTCACAAGTCCTTCTTAGAGGTTAATGAAGAAGGCTCAGAAGCTGCTGCTGTCTCAGGTACTGTTTGCTAAAATCTTCTCCCATCTTCTAGATTTGCATTTTTAGAGCAATCTTGGGTGGGGAGTGGGGTCATTTTCAAAATCAAGCCAAGAAATTCACTCTGCTCTGACTTAGAAGTCAAGCAAATGCTGAACCAGCCGGAATTTTCTAAATAGAATGTGAAGTGTGAATTCACTCCAGTGCCCCTTTGCTGCTAACGCTCATCTTCATTTTCTCTCTAATGAGAGACAGGAGGACATTGGCAGCTCTGTGAATATAGATTTTTCTGCTGTGCTCCCTGTTTAAATATTTTAAATATTTTTCTGCTATCCATTTACACATTTTTTCTCATACCAAATTACTTGCTGAAGTTGATTCCTAATTTTTCAGCAAAACGTTTTTATTTATTATTTTATTTTCATGGTTACATAGTAAGTATATATATGTATGGAGAAAATGGGATATTTTTGATACAGGCATATAATGCATAATAATCACATCAGGGTAAATGGGGTATTCATCACCTCAAGCATTTATCATTTCTTTTATTATAAACATTTCAATTATACTTTTCTACTTATTTTTAAATGTACAACAAATTATTGCTGATTTGTAATGACTTTGATGTGCTATCAAATACTAGATCTTCATTATATTTAACTATATTTTTGTACCCATTAACTGTCCCAACATACCCCCCCTCTATCACTGTCACTGTTAGGACACTGTCACTGTAGTATTTTCAGAAGGAAGTAAGAGCACGGTAGTCTCAGGCATCAAGACAGCTTGAAATCTTAATTTTTCTTTTGACAATTAACCACACTGCAGCAAGTATATAACGATCATCTTATAATGAGGATCTCAGGGGAATTTAGTGGCCCAGTCGTGTGTTACCCCATTGCATCTCTCACTGTTATATTTTCCCTTTTATCACTGCCATCCTGACCACTTACTGGAACCTGGTGACTTGCTATGTAAAAATACCCACTTCAAACAAAAGAAATAATGATTTGAAAATATAAAGAAACGGTCTTCAGTTTTTGTTTGGGGATCTTTATTCTTCCCTTTCCTTTTACTCAAAAGTCATTTTAGTAAAGACACACATATTTATGTGAGGCTGAGAATAAAAATTGCATAACAAGCAGAATAAATTGTCTGATTATTTTTAGTGGAGTAGAGGGAAGAGACTGTTTTGTTTGTGGTGTGTTTCTTTCGTTTGGTTTGTTTTTTTAGAAGATCAAGTAGAAATGTTAACACCTATGTAATTTTTCTCCAGTTAAATATTTAAAATCTTGTTTCCTGTAAATTGTTGTCTTTGCGTTAGGTGGATAGACACAGATAGTTTTGAGGAATTACTCATCAGTCTCTGCACATCCACATATAATTACTTTTTCTCTGCACTGTAGGAATGATTGCAATTAGTAGGATGGCTGTGCTATATCCTCAAGTTATTGTCGACCACCCATTTTTCTTTCTTATCAGAAACAGGAGAACTGGTAAGTTTATTATGAAAACAAAATTTTAATAGCCCACAAAGAACCTCTTTTTTAAGTGGGGATTTTTTTCTCAGTAATCATCATGTAATTTCTTTTCACAATTTTGTTTATTTATTCTTTTTCCTGAGATTGATCAACTGAATTATGAGATAATTTATAATGTGGAAATAAATGTTTTTTAATGAAGATAAGGCTGGATGAGGTGGCTCAGCCTTTAGTCTCAGCACTTGGAGTTCAAGGCAGGAAAGATCACTTGAGGCCAGGACTTTGAGCCCAGACTGGGTAGTGAGACCCCATTTCCACATAAATAAAAATTTTTTAAAAATTAGCCAGGCATGGTGGCACATGCCTGTTATCTTAGCTACTGGAGATATTGGGGGTAGGAGGAATGCTTGAGCTCGAGAGTTCAAGGTTATAGTGAGCTCTGATACAGCCACTGCACTCTATCCTGGACATCAGAGCAAGACCCTTTCTCAAGAAAGTAAAGACAGAAAGAAAGAGGAAAAGAGAAAGAAGGAAACATATTTTCATTAATTGTAAGGAAGGAGGAAGATAAATATTTCATTATTTTGTTTACCCCCTCTTTTGTTTACTTCCAAACCAATACAGGTACAATTCTATTCATGGGACGAGTCATGCATCCTGAAACAATGAATACAAGTGGACATGATTTTGAAGAACTTTAAATTACATTATTTGAATAACAAGGAAAACAGTAACTAAGCACATTATGTTTGCAACTAGTATATATTTAGGATTTGTGTTTTACAGTATATCTTAAAATAATATTTAAAATAGCTCCAGATGAAAACAATATATGTAAGTTATAAGTCAATTTGTCAAGGAATATTATCAGTATTAAGGTAATGGTCCTGTTATGTCATTGTGTGTGTGTGTGTGCCGTTGTTTAAAATAAAAGTACATACTGAACATGTGACTAGATCTATTTTTTTTTATTTTAGAAGTCATAATATAAAGATATCGCTAGGTGAACCTTGGAATGTTTCTGTACATCTTGAATCTCTTATAATTTGCAGGGTCAAAACACCAAAGTGAAATGCCATTATATACCTACATATAACAAGCAATAACAACTGAGGTGAAGACAGGTACTCCACAAAAATGTTGTCATTCCTTGGAAATAATTGTATAGGGTAGGCAAGAGAACGCAAACCGAACATCTTCCATATTGCTTAATGACAAGACCTGTTAGAAAAAAAAACAGATCTATGCAAATCTCAAATACCTATAGCTTATTTTTCCAAATCATTGAAAATTCATTTGGCTTCATATGCCTAAAGCAGTTTACAAGTCTGGTGTATCACTATGTTTTGTTGCTGCAAGTAAAATCAAAATTACAATTCCCCCAAAGCCCCAAAATAAACCACATGAACAAACTAACAAAAGTATGCGCTTTGGCATGACATGGGAGAGTTAAAAAGAAAAACCACGCTAACACTCATGCTGGAAAATGGCAGATCACGGGACTGAATGCTTCCCACAGAGGTGTTCTTGTTTGCTCTGCATTGGGCTTTTACATTTTGAACTTGAATGTCTGTAACTGGGGAATCATATTCCTTGTTTCTTCCATTAATTACCGGAGTGGCTACTGGATGCATTTGTGTTTGAGATCTGGAAAGAATTATAAGTAGGACTTTGTAGAATATAATGGTCTTATTTTCTAATACAAGAGATAGTTGATTCCAAAGGGAGAGGTGTCAACTTCAAGGTCTCCAGTAAGTGAATTTATCTTTTAATATTTCTTAGAAAAAATATTTCATAAGATCTCGTGAATGGGACCATATATGTTTAAGGGCAAATTTTTAATTCTAAGATGAACAGTTTCAGAAAAACTTTAAAACATTTCAAAATTTAACAGAAACTGTTTGCATGTTACTTTATTGTGTATTAGGTATTGTGCCGATTTGGAGATGTTTACAAGAATTGTTGTTATCAATTATCATTAACTTTAATTCAGTTCATGAGAGTTTGGGAAAACCAGGCCTGATCCTAGACCTACTAAATTAAAAAACTTGAAAATCTCCCTTTTTCCCCAAGCTTTCTTGTTGATTCTGTCACATGCTAAATCTTAAATACTGTTAAAGTAAAGGGTACATAGGGAATACTCATTTATAACCAGTTTTTTAGATACGGTTAGTTTATAGAAACCAAATAAGTGTATTAAATTAATGCTTCTCAAAGTTTATTGTGTAATGGAATCACCTGGGGATTTTATTAAAAATTCAGGTTATCATTCAGTAGGTCTGGGGTATGGCCTAAATGGCCTGGGGTGTATTTCTAACAAGCTCCCAAGTAATGCCTTTCATGTTTGTCCATAGACTCTGCTGTTTGTCACTTTGTTAGCAAAACTCTACTTAAGATTTGCACATTTGATATTTTTGGAATAGAATGTCTGTATAATTTGTATAGAGTTTGGAGGGACTTGGGGGGATGGGGTGACAGTATGCATGAAAAAATGCAATATACTTGTCCAAAATGGGGAAAAATTGTTTTACTCTAAAGGCTTTTTTTCTATTACATGCTATGGATGAATGAAAAATTCCTCTGCATATTAGAACACTTGAAATATATTATTTCAAAATATGAAGGTATGTATAGGCATTATTCACAAAAGAATTTATGTATGCCCAAGGACAGAGTCCCTAACACAATCTTTTATAGCTTATATTTTCAGAGGACTTATAGTTCATTGATAGGTTATATAGAACAGTGCTCTTGTTTTTGTGTATAATGTGTATAGGTTGGGTTAACTGATGTCGTTTCAGTATTGGTATTAGGAGTTTGTGATAGTCTTCATTACCATATCACTACTTGTTAAGCATTATTTCTATATTTGTATGGCCATCAGTCAATGATATGAATACCTATAAGGAAGAGTAAATGTCATTAGACAATCATGTGAATTCTTTTTTTCTTTTTTGAGACGGAGCTTCACTCGTGTTTTCCAGGATGGAGTATAATGGCCCAATAATAGATCACTGCAACCTCTGCCTCCCAGGTTCAAGTGATTCTCCTACCTTGGCTACCCAAGTAGCTGGAATTACAGGCACCTTCCACCACGCCCAGCTGATTTTTGTACTTTTAGCAGAGATGGGGTTACACTGTGTTGACCAGGCTGATCTAGAACCGCTGACCTCAGGCAGTCCGCCTGCCTCGGCCTCCCAAAGTGCTGGGATTACAGGTGTGAGCCACCAGGCCCAGTCAATCATGTGGAGTTTATAAAGCCCAACATGCAACTTTTATTAGCTGATATAAGATTAAATTCTACTATTCAGAAGGTTTACCTTAAAATATTTCAGTACCATGAGTTGTCCTTTAAATAAGAAACGATTGTCATCCTTTGTTGTTAGCATGCTTGTGGAATGCTTAGGAACAGAGTACTTAATAAAGTACTTGTTAGTACTTTTCATTTTGTTTGACTTGATTTATAATATCTTCAGTACTTTGTTTTAAAAAGTAACATAGCTAAGTTCAATTTCCTTTAAATGAATAAATTGATACACACAGTATACAGTTTGCCAACACTTTTTGGTTTTTGAACCTTTTTCTTAGAGAAAATAAAAAATAATCATGTAGATTTTGCTTTTATTGTAAATCTTGATTTTACTTTGTGTATTCAATAGGTTAGACTGAATACTTACATATAATATAATCCTATAAATTTTGACATCACCATAGTAACCAAATAATTGTTAAAATCAGTCTTAAATAGAAATATTTATCTGAACACCAGAAAAAGTTAGGGTTTATAAGTCATTAGAATAAAGAAAATATCATTAAAAATTTTTATTCTAATTAAGTGTGTATATTATACATATTATAATTCACTGCCTTTCATATATAATCAGCTTCTTGATTTATAATGATGGACATTATTCTTATCTAGAAAAAAAATCTTTTTTTTTTTCTTAATTGGAATGGCTTGGGGCATTTTAGTTATTGGCCAAAGGTAACCTGAAATGTATCTTTGTGAAATATAGGTCTTTGTTGCAATGTTGAGAAAATAAGATGAATGACTATTTGTAATACAAAAACTTGGCTGCTAAAAAATCAATAACCTTACCATATTCTCAGAGGGTCACTATAACACTGTCTGTTACAGAGAGGATTCATTTAGAGAAGCATGCCTTAGACAGGGGGCAAGGTTCTTCAGTTAAACGGTTTCATTATAAGACTGCCTCAAGGTATAGGCTGAATAAAAAATATCCTTACAAGGCTCCAGTGTAGCTATTTCCTTCCAGGAAAGCCAGACTGCCTGTTAATATTTTAACACATTTTAAAATATATATTGGACTAAACTGAAAACAAATCTCCAGCTTGACTAAAGTGCATCATTAAAAAGAAATCCTAGACCCATATATGCAGGGACCCAAAATACATGGTTTTAATTCAGTTCTTGTTCTCCAAAAAACGGTGGAATCACTAGGGATGATGTGTCAGAATGAGGGGAAAGGAGTGTATACAGGGGTGCAGTTGCTTGGGCAAATCTAAAACCAGCATCCCACAAGTTTTCACCATTTGATATGTGGAGCCACATACCAGTAACTTCTGGCCCAATTCCAGATCATACATTATTTAGAAGAACTTAGCTTATATATTTTTCTGCCTGAAAATTGAACCAGAAAAAACCACATCATTCCATTCCATTTTAGGTTGTGTGTGTGTGTGTGTGTGTGTGTGCGCGCGCGCGCGCGCACGTGCACGCATGCACATGCCTGCGTCTGTATTTTTCCTTATCTTTTTAATGTTTATTCTAATGGCTTACTCTGCACTGAAAATTTTTATCCTCAGTCTGACAATAGATGAGAGAAGACCTTCCACATCCATCATTATTTACTGGGAAGCAATTTACCCTCCCCAAAGGATGCTTGATGTCATTTTTCCCCCAAAACTTGAGGAAGCCCCTTTAGAGAGAAAGAGTAAGAAATCTGATTACAACATGAAACTCATTCACATAGAGACTCTGCTCTGCAAAGTGCTTTTATGTTGAATTTTCCATTCAAATTCCACAATCTTTAAAATAGAGCAAAAAATATTATCATTTAAAAAATGTGTAGACTGAGGTCTAGATAAATTAAATGCCTAACCAAAAGTGATATGTAATTAGGTATCTGAAAAGAGACTAACAGTTTATTAAATTGTATTACTCTATTTGACACAAATATCAAATTAATCAGCCTTTTACCTACTAAATGTCTAGTTTATATGTGAATGAATGAATGAATGAATGAATGCAATGGTTCCTTTGCCAGTGAAAGTGTATTTTTAAAATGGCTTTTCCATTATGCCAGACTTGATAGCAAGATTTATACCAGGCTGGACTCATGCTTGATATCCCAACACTTCGGGAAGCCAAGACTGGTATACTACTTGAGCTCAGAATTTGGAGACCAGCCTGGAGAACATGGTAAAACCCTGTCTCTACAAAAAGTACCATGCTGGGTGTGGTGACACATGCCTGTAGTCCCAACTACCCAAGAGGCTGAGGTGAGAGGATCATTTGAGCCTGGGAGGTTGAGGCTACAGTGACCTGTGGTCATGCCATAGCACTCCATCCTGGGAGACAGAGCAAGACTCTCAGCAACAACAAACAAGATTCATGGCGTCTGTCTGTAGTAGGACCATAAAGGGAAATAACCTTCAAAAGAAGTCCCAGTAGACCCCAAGCCAATTAAAGTACCTGAAGTGTTCATTTTTTCCCAGCTCAGTACTATTTAGCAATATTACATTTTATAATATATCTACATAATATGACCCAGGAAAGAAACACTGAAAAAGGCAAACTTATTATAAACTCGTATTTTAAGGAAAATTATTAGACTCTTGTGCCAGCCTTGGTAACATTGGGAGTTCTTTTTTACAATGTATTGGGAGTTCTGCAGTTCTTCTATTATTAAGTAAGAATAAAT